AATAATAAATCAATTTCAAACTTTTTGGGTTTATTTGGAAATACAAGTGCCTGAGGTATCTGATGCCAAGTCTTTTAAATCAATGGCTTGGTGTCTCGTTTGGATGGCAGAAATTAAAACTTTGGTCTTGCGACACAGGTTGCTTAAATATTTTTAAAGTAAGCTTCTTGTTACTTAATGACTGATTACATATTGAAATTTTTATGTTAATTCTCGTTTTCTAATCCTATTATTAATTTAAAAATATTTTCTTTGGGATTGGTTTGGCTTTTTATTGTTGTTAGTACAAATGAAGAACCAATTTTGCACTGAATTTCAGTCTGTAATTGTTATTTAAATCCAAATTAAATGGTTTTTGTGAACACTTTTCCATGAATGTATAGTGTTGCAGAACTCAGGTTTTGTTTGTGTATTGTTCAATGCTTTAATCCTTGTATATTGGTTATATATAAACAGTAAAAATTAAGAATTTGTATATTGATTGTAATCCTTGTTCTATGAATAGTGTTCAAGTGTGAGTTAGTTTTTGAGTGCTTTGTATCACAGTGAATGTTAAATTCTTACAGAATTCTTTTATTAAGGTTTCATATTTTCATCTTAACATTTATCTTATCTGAAAAGTGAATATTTACAAATGTGAAATCATTTTTTTTTTTTAGGAATAAAGAGTGTTATTTGATGCAACTCATTTCTGGTATTCTGAGGTGTGATAGACCTGTATGGTTTCTTTGAGAGTATAAATAATAAGTGGTTATGTTGAAATTGTTTGAGCATAAATAATTGTTTCTCAATGATTGTGTTGTTCGGTAAATCACATTGTCTCTTTTGTTTTTTCCCTGTTGGCTTAACGGCATTTTAAAAATTGTGATTATATTGAAAGGTTTGACGATAAATCGATATACTTACACATTAATATCAGTTTCCACATTTTATAATTCCACATTGTTTGTAGCATGACTTTAACAGGTTGTTAGTTGTGTGGATGACCTAGCATAGCTTATTGGTTTTGTTCGGCATCGATATTTTTTTTTTTAATTTGATTAAGTAATAGAAATTGTACTTGGGTGTGTTTGTAGAACAGAAACCACGATATATATTTTAGGTAATCTGCTTGTGTGCTTTGTGTTTTATTTTATGCTGTGGTTGATGTAATCTTGGGCAGGTTAAATATTTTAAGGAATTGAATATGAGCCAAATGAGTAGGAAATGAATGTTTTGCCGCTCTTTGTTTTCATAGAGGTTGTATTGTAGTATTTATCAGGATTTTGTTCACGATTGATTGATAATTTGTGTTTTTTTTTTATTCAGGTCAATGGATCACTTGCAAGGAGGGCCATCAAGGATTTGATGGCCAGAGGGTCCATCAGAATGATCTCTGCGCACTCATCGCAGCAGATCTACACCAGGGCCACCAATACTTAGATAGTTTCTCAGTTTCTCCATGCTGTTATAGCTGATGTAGTTGGATTTATTTTGTCACTTTTGTTATGGTTTTTATACCGGGATTGTCTACTTGATTAGTTTTTTTCCATGTATTGGATATGTATTAACTTCTTTATTTTGAGTTAATTTTGGAATCTTGCATTGATCCCCTCATGGTATATGCCCCAAATGGTTGTTATTCCTGGGGTGCGAGTTTTTTATGTTATATGTGTTTACATGCTAGTAATATTTTTGTATGCTTATGCCTTATGGCAGACGCATATGTGCTACTGTGTATCTATTTTCCCATGTTGCAGTTTTTTAATTTTGGTAAAGAAGTTTCAATAATTTGAATGTTTGAGTGGCCATGGAAGAAGCTTCATGCCGTAGTTGTCTGCTAGCAGGTGAGCTGTATTATTTGTAGGAGTTTGCTGTATTGGCTAGTAACTGTATGTGAGAAGTTCCCTATGAGACTTGTTGGTACTGATTGCTTTATGGAAATGTATGTTACATAGGTTATGCAAATTTACTCATAACATTGACTATATGTTTAAAATACGCAAGTTACTACCATATAGTGACATAGTGAAAGTTTGCATGTTTTAAACGTATAAGTGCGAGTTATTTGCCTTTTTGAGTTTAAAATATTTGCTAGAGTAAAATTGGGTTTTTTACTAATTTCTTTCAAACTTTTAAATTCGAAACACCATATGCTCTAAGGTTCAGAACTCAGGAGTAGCCAAGTGACTGGGTTTGATCAATTTGGTAATAGAGAGTGTGCATTAGTTCAGCATACGTATCTAATCTCAACATGTTAAGACCAAAATCAGTTCTCCTTCTCCCCACCCCACTGCTAAAAATAAAGCGGTAAAAACAAATTAATGGGCGGGAAAACAAAGTTATATCCCTTCTAGTAACTACAAACCCACTGGAATAGCCTAAAACCACCCAACGTTTTTTTCTCCACTTCTTTCATAGACGGAACGAAACAACCAGAATGAAGAGAAGAAGAGCAGCAGCACCACCACCATCAACAATGGGGATTCTGGGTGTGTGTCGTCGTCTTCCACATAAGCTAATCCTTGAAATACTCTCAAGAATTCCAGCAAAGACTCTTCTGCAATTCAAGTTAGTATGTAAGTCTTGGTACAACTCAATTCAGGATCCTGTTTTTATTAAAATGCATATCAATCGATCCATGGAAAACGATCATACAAGTGTATTTCTCGCCAGTGAACCATCTTACTCTATGTCAGCAGGACCCTTTGATCTTGTTTCACAAATTTATAGTTTAGAAGGCGATTCACATGACAAATGTATGGAATTTGAAAACCCTATTCTTCATAAATCCAGAGTATTGGGTTCTTGTAATGGTTTAGTTTGTTTAAGTAATGGGAAAGTGATGTGTTTATTGAATCCATTTACTAGAGAATACAAGATGATTAAGGTTAATGAGGAAATCAGTTTTAGAAAGAGTGTTTTCGGATTGGGGTATGATGGTGCAAATGATGATTATATATTGGTGCAACTTGTTCATACTGATGACTGTTTTGATTTTTATGATTTTGGTTCTGATGATGATATGGATTCAGGAGTCTATGTTTACTCCTTGAAGGATACATTGTTGTGCTCTAAAATTGCTAACATTCCATATCGACGTTTGTATGCTCCAGACTTGGGGGTTTATTTGAATGGTTGCCTTCATTGGGTAGCTACAAAGAAACAATGTGCACCTGTTGATATAATCGCATTTGATAATACTGAGAAAGTGTTTCGAGAGATGCCTCGACCTGTTAATTTGGGTGAAGGTGCTAATATGACTTTGGGATTGCTTGGAGGGAAGCTTTCTATCCTTTGTGACTTCTATCAGAAGGATAGTGAGTTATGGGTTATGGGAAAGTATGGTGTAGCTGATTCGTGGATAAAACTAGTGTCTATGGTTCGAGGATTTCTTCCTAGAGCGCCTAAATCAAGGGTGTTGTGCTTTTCTGAGAATGGCAAACTTCTACTGAAAGATGGCAAAGTTCCTATTCTATATGATCCAAAAACAAAAAAAGTTTGGAATATCAGTTATCGTGGTATACGTTGGTATAAAATATGCAAAAGTATAGTTTATGTGCCAAGCCTAATTTCGTTGAAGTCGGGTAATTATGCGGATGTTGTTGGAGATCAGCCTTCAAAGAAAAGAAAGAAAAGAAATTATTATTACAGGTACGTATGTGATAATCTTTTATTTTATTTTTTCTGTATATTTCATCATGTCCTAGTTGTCAATAATCCAACCAATTCATTGTTATGGTCTGTTCATCACAAGAATTTAAATTTTAGATTATTTGCTACTTTCTGAGGAATTGAGGATATTTTAGCACAGCATTATACTTATTAGAGTAGCTGAGACTTCACATTATACTCATTATCATACTCCATCATTTGTGAGTGTTCGCTTTTTTTCTATCGTGGTCTCTTCTATACTGTTGTGCTAGTAAATACTGGTGAAGAAATGTCTTCATTGATATATTACTTGTCTAATTACTGGTGTGCTAGTAGTTTAATACTAACAAAATATGTATAGTGTGAATTAAACACTTGAAGTATCAAACACATCTTGTATGGTTATAGCTTAGAGAGAGATGCACTTGGGACTTGGGGGTGCACCCCTTCTTCATTACTTACAACAATTAAGATATCTTTAACAATCATATAGCATACAACACAAGCAGGTTTTGTCGATTGTGTTCTCAAACTTAGTATTGTTGACATTTGATTCCCTTCCATTGCTGACAATACTGTTAAAGCATAATGGCGATGCGGTCAAGCTTAGATGATGTTAGGCATGACTAGGGAACATAAGGCCCAAGGCTGAGCATAGAGACCAGGTGCTTTTAATTGCATAGAATAGAACTGTATGTTACAAACTAACCTACTCTTTTTCTCCAAAGGTCCTTGGCATATTATAACTTCTCTTCTTGCAGTTTCCCAGCTGGTTGAGTGCGTCAACTTTACAAGTTCTTTCATCTTAGACTCTAATGACCTGTTTAGAGATGTTCTCTAGCTTCTCGAGCTTTTCTGTATTAATTGGAACATTGAGATGATTTTATAAAAGTATAAAACCAGGATCATTTAACATCTTACCTAGTGGAATAATCCCATCAAGATAGGTAGCCAGTAGCCACGAAGTCTAGAAACTGTAACCCTCTCCCATGTTCTCAATGCTTGGGTTTTGTGTTACGAACATCTTCCAGTGTGAATAGTAATGGATAGAGT